GCTGCTGATATTTTCGCTTGTGACTAATAAACGCCTTTTCGCCGGCGTGTTCTTCTCTGTGTCGACGAAGGCGTGGATGCCCGCGAAACGAGCGACGCCAAATGCCGTACTATTCCGTGTATCGCAGATGTTTTCGGAACGGTGGATGTCGTTCCCTTTTCTCTTTACTCGAGCGAAGCACGTCTTCCGACTGGAAAACTTCCTGACCCCGTCTACGTTCGGCATCGTCGTGGTGCCGCCGTCCATCGCTTACTTTCCTTTTGCGCCCGTACTGCAGGATGGGTCGCGACTCACGGCCTTGCTCCAATCCTCCCTGGCAATGTCGAGGGTCGAGGAGGGCTGCGGCGGGGGGAGAAGAAGAGACACGCGCGCCGCGGTCGGCGGCAGCGCAGGCGGACCGGCAGTGGGCTCCGACAAGGATAGCGGGGGCTGGTTACGCTCGCCCGTGGCAGGCAGTGACCGCCCCCTCCTGGAGCACTTTCTGGTCGAGTGCCGTCCGGAGGTTGTGCGGGAGTGGAGGAGGGAGGGCGCAGGAGGTCAGCGCCGAGGAGTCGGGCAGCGTGCCAGCAGCAGCGGAGCAGAAGCACCTGCGGTCGCCGACGGCGGCGACGGCTGCGCCGCGTTTCCCCTCGCACGCGACGGACGCTGCGTAGATCTTCAGGCGTTTTCATGTCTTCAGGTGCGTGCGTCTCGTCGTCTGACGTGTGGGGGCGTGGCGTATGCGCGTCACTTTCGGCCAGCGTGCATGCAACGCCTACACACGACGCGCGCCCGCCCGCGCGGTGTCTCGCAAAAAAGTGGCTTGAGCATGGCGGGGTCGAGGTGGCCAGACGATGATGAAAATGGTGGTGACGGGTGACGACAATGGGTGATTAGTCTGCCAGGGTCTTCCCCTTTCGTGCAGTCTTTTCCTTTTTTTTTTTTGCTTGTATCCGCTGCCTTCGAAAACAGGCACCACCAGCTATGCCCGACAGGGAGGCAGAGAGACGATCTTCCCAAACCCCGCCCCCCCGTGGGCCTCCCCCTTCGCAATCTAGACTTCAGTGGGTTGGCGCTGTTGGCAAAGCGCTGTAAAACACGCCACCCCAAATATAGCCCCCATAGTATGCGCAACCAAAG